GTAGTGGTGGGTGCCACAAGATATCTTCGATATCAACGTCTTCAGATGAGGACAGGAGCGCAGAGGTTAGGCAGCGAAGTAGAAAACGACTTCTGGCATCATCAAAAAGGATAGGGGTCAAAACTTCAATTCAGCCGCCTCGTTTGTTTTTTTCCGAGCCTTCGAGCCTTTTCCGCTCTTTTCCAACATGCTACGGTCCCCATCGAGTTGGTCGCGAAACTGTTTGTGACGAATTTCGTTTTTCAAAACTGCGAAAACATCAGTCAAAACTAGTTCAACAAAGCATTTCATGATCTCACCTTATGATTTGATTGCAATTTTTGTTTTTTTGTTTTTGAGTAAGTGAGCTCAAGTATTCAAGGTCGTGGGAAGGGGGAGTACTCTTGTAAATTATGGCCTTCTCCCGGAATGGGTTTTAAGCAAAACACACGAACCGAGGGCGGAGCCTGAAGTTTCATATCATGACTAAATCCTAATTTTAGATTTATGTCTTTCATGAGACTGCTGAATAGGGGATTTATCTTGTAAAGCTCTTTCATCGGTAGACCAAATCGCCCCCAAAGTATGGAAGGGGCGATTACATATGACACTCACTCTGGAACTACGAAGCAAGTAGAATAGAGAGCCGTATGATAGGTGATATGCGGAAGGTGATTCACCGCCTGGCAGCTTTAGGTTTGTGTGACCAACTTCTTTTATTTCCAAGATCCGCAGAGAAAATGTTGCATACTCGTGAATACTTCAACAAGTATGGGCAGAACCAAAGATCAACCAATATAGGATGAGCATGTATGCAGTGGAAGTCTGATAAATGGACTGACTCACATAGACTGAACTCATACAGATATCACTCAACACACAAGCAATCGTGCAGGAGAGACGAAGGATGTGGGAGAAGTAGGCAGCGCCAGATGTCACCGAAATAGAATCCAGTAGGTCACCGATATGGTAGTCCAAAATGTCATCGAACAAGATCAAAATGTCGTGGACAATAAGTCACCAATGTCGGAGGTACAGAGTCCTCATGTAACCGGTGTCCGATCTRTGATGCCGCCGGGTATMAATCCCAACAATCTCCAAGTCTCGAATCTGGTAAGTATCACAGCCTCTTACCACCGAAGTCCGAACACTGATCTCTGTCCCACTCGTAACTAAGTCTCCAATCTAAGTAAGAAGAAGATGAAGAATGAGTCTGGAGAAGAAGAAGAAGAAGAAGAGTCTGAAGAAGAAGAAGAAGAAGAAGAAGAAGAAGAAGAAGAAGAAGAAGAAGAAGAAGAAGAAGAAGAGATAGCAGAGGAGGAGGGAGAGATGGTGAGGTAGGGAGGAGGAGAGTCCTCACTACCCTGTCCTGGCCCGAAGCCTTACCTGCAGGATGCAAGGTGGCGCCTTGAAGTCTTCTGCAGTCGAAGTCCGCTGAAGCTATGGCGCCACAGGTAAGTACCGGGTAAGTATCTCGCTGCTCTCTATCCCGAACTGCAGTCTAGTGCTAACCTCGCGCTGCTGCAGTAGCGCTGCGCTCTAAATAGAATAGCGCAGCGCTCTAAGTCGAATCCAACACATGTCATCCGGGTCATATTGCTTGAAAGTGACTTGGTATTGCATTGGCTTGTTGCCAAACTTGCGGTGCCTGATGACACGGTCAACTTCCTGATGGCCGTCCATAGAGGGCGGATCCTGTGATCGTCTGCCCGGGTACTCGTCTGCGGATGGTGGCGTGTAGATGGCCAGCTTCGACGCATGGAAGACCGGGTGCACACGGAGGTGCGGTGGAATGGCAATCACAAAGGAAGGACCTGCAGGGTCGTCGCCTGCTGCAGAAACTACCTTCCATGGTCCGAACCATTTTAGGAGGAGTTTGCGCGAGACGTCCTGCTCGAGCGCGAATTCCTCAGCGAGGACCCAAACAAGGTCTCCCTCGCGGAAAGGACATGGGAGTCGACGTCGGTTGGCTTGCTACTGCATGCGGATTTGAGCCTTTTGCATGTTCGCACGGGTGTTGATCAGCAAGTCCCGGTACTTCCGGACGGAAGCGGGAGAGCAAGCGACGTCTATGTCGGCAGCCCGTGGTAGAAGAAGATCGGCGAAGACTCGGGCCTTCTCTCCACCGTGATGTAACGCAAATGGAGGGAGGCAGATCGCCAGATGCACCGAAGTGTTATAGGCGAACTCGATGCCGGGAAGCCGGTCAACCCAATCTTTCTGGTCGGGACGGATGAGTGTGCGCAACATCATTTGAGAGGGTCTGATGCGCTCGTTTCGACTGTCCATCCGTCTATGGGTGCCGTGCAGAACTCGGCTTCATAGTCGAACCGGACTCCGTCATGAGGGAAGTCCAAAAGGCAGACATGAAGCGAGAGTCTCTGTCGCTCACAATATCTTCCGGAACACCATGGGCGGTAATCCAACCGGTGTGCAAGAGTCGAGCGAGCTCAGGGGCTGTAGCACGATACTTGCATGGAAGAAAACGAGCGTACTTGCTCAAACGGTCAACGACAATGCCGTCATGACCGAGGCGATCGCGGGGGAATGGGCCTGTAACATCCATAGCAATGGATAGGCGAGGTGCCTGGGGAATCGGCATCGGCTTCAGTTCACCATAAGGGACCGTAGATCGACCTTTGTTATGATGGCAAACTGCGCATGACTCAATATACCTCGTGACGTCGTGAAGAACGTCGGGCCAGTGAAAACGCTGGCGGAGGCGAGCCAATGTGCGGGTCATGCCAAGGTGTGCCGAAAGTCGTGCGTCATGGAATTCGTCGAGAAGACGAGTCCGTAAGATGCGATCTTGGGGCACCACTAACAAGTCCTTTCCTCTCGTGTGGAGAAGTAGGAACCCGTCAGAGATACGATAATGACCAGCCGGCGGGTGATCCGATGATAGGTCCGCATAAAGCGTAGAGTACGTCGGAAAGGACTTGTAGCCGTTGACGAAATGCTGCTGCAAATCGTCGTCGAGGTCGAACGTCGTGGTCACAAGGGCACAAAGATCGAGCCGTCGTGAGAGGGCGTCCGCTGCTCGATTGGCGGGACCGGGAATGTGGCACGGGTCAAAGTCGAACTGGTCGATGTAGTACATCCATCGACCGATCGTGCTAGTGATCGTGTCCTGCGTTTTGTAGAAGGTCAACGGGTTATTGTCCGTGTTCCATCTAAAACGTCGACGACCGAGAAGAAAGTGGCGCCACCGTTTGAGAACGGTGACGAACACGAGTAGCTCTTTCTTCCTAGCGTCGTCGAGAGTGTTGATGGGAGACACTTTTTGGGACAAGTACTCGACCGGATGCCAACCATCCGTGTGGCATTGCTCCAATACCGCACCAATACCGTACCCGGAAGCATCCGTAGTCACTTGGGTGGGTAGGGTGGGATCATAGATACGGAGGGCCGGTGCATCTTGCATCGCCGCCTTCAGCGTATTGAACGAGCCACGAGTTGCGTTGTCGAACTCGAATGGTACCTTCGGGGACTGAAGTCTCGACAAAGGAGCTGCCACTTTGGAGTAGGACTCGATGAAGCGCTGATAGTATCCAGCCAACCCCATGAAAGAGCGTACGTCCGTCGTGCAACGGGGTTCCGGCCAATCCACGATGGCTTGGATCTCGTCCGCTAAGGGACGAATGCCTTTCGGCGTCACATAATGGCCTAAG